GCCAGAATTTAAAAAAATAGACACAAAACTGTAGTCAGCTGCTGTCTCTCATCTCAGCGTGATGAGATGGGCTGGGCTGGAGCTTGGGCTCTGAAACCCACTGGCTGCCCCAGTTTTCACAGTCGGAACTCCAGCATCAGCCTGAACGTCAAAGTAACATCCGAAGAAGTGGGCTGTAGCCCACGAAAGCTTATGCTCTAATAAATGTGTTAGTCTCTAAGGTGCCACAAGTACTCCTGTTCTTTTTGCGGATACAGACTAACACAGCTGCTACTCTGAAAAAGTAACACCTGCACAGCTATTTGTAGCATTCTAGAACAAGTCTGTTGACCCAGGCTCTGAGACTCCCTCCCATCAGCTGTGTAGACATACCCAAAGATGCTACCCCAATACAGGTAGCCCAGTTGGACTCCGGCATAATGGCTACTGCCACTCCTGGGTAGGGATGCATCTCCTCTCAGGAGATGTGCCTTCAGCCACAACAATTGAATTTATTTATTTATTTTTAAATTTAACTCAGGGAGAAGGAATCCTGCAGGCTCTCATGCTGCCACATCCAACTGTTTTCTGGCAGGAAGTCAAGTAAGCTTCATTCTGAAAGGCAAACAGCATTTTGCACTAATACACGCTACTTCTGTTTGAAATTACACTAGGCAAAAAAATGCCAAAAATGAAAAACTCCAATTTTAATTTACATACTACAAAGTTCAGTCCTTTTTGTACCATGTCTTGGTTATTAGGCTTAGACTCCCTCCAGGGAATCAGTGACTCTGAAAAAGATTTAGAGTCATGGTGGACAATCAGCTGAACATGAGCTTCCATGCAACACTGTGGCCAAAAAAGCTAATGGGATCCTGGGATGCATAAACAGGGGACTATAGAGTAAGAGTAGAGAAGCTCTTTTACTTCAGGATTTGCCACTGGTGCAACTGCTGCTGGAATCCTGTGTCCAGCTCTGGTGCCCACAATTCAAGAAGGAAGTTGATAAATTGGAGAGGTGTCAGAGAAATCATGAAAGTGTTTTAGCCAACAAGATGGAATTCTTTATTACATCTTGCCCTAACAGATAAAGAGAAAGTGACCACAGAAATTAAAATTAATGGTAGCTTAGGTTTATAATAATGGTTTCATCAGTTTATAATGTGCAAGCAAAATAAAGGTCAAATTAGTAATTGCTATGCTTGGTACAGTAATAGGGCCAATTTCACAAAGCTGAAAACAGTTATGAACCAAATCAGCTGGGAGGAAGAATCTAATCCAAAAATGTGCACGATAGTCTAGAATCATTTTAAAACACCTTACTAGATGCCTGAAAAGCCTCAATCCCACAATTGAGGAAAAAGGCTGTGCTGGTTAAAAAAATCTAACCGGATTTAGAGGGGAAGTGAAGGCAGCTATGAAAATTTTAAAATAATATGTAACAAATGGAAGAAAGGGGAAGTTGATAGCAATGAATATAAATCAGATGTTAGGAAATGTAAAAATTGATAAGGGAAGTAAATGGACACAAGGAAAAACCTATGGTTACAGTTAAGGACAATAAGGAATTTTTAAAATATATTGGAAACAAAAAGAATCCTGACAATAGTATTGGTCCGTTACTAGAAGGAAATGGTAGAATTATCAATAATAATTGATTATCTGCAGAAAAGGCAGAAGTGTTCAATAAATACTTTTGTTTTCTATTTAGTGGAAAAACGGATTATATACTCATCATATGATAACTATCTTTCCATTCCATTAATATCTCTGGAAGATGTTAAACAAAATTAGACATTTTAAAATCAGCAGGTCCATATAACCTGCATCCAAGAGTTTAAAAGAGCTGGCTGAGGAGCTCACTGGACAGTTAATATTGATTTTCTATAAGGATTGGAGCACTGGGGATGTTCCAGAAGACTGGAAGAAAGCTAATGTGCCGATTTTAAAAAAGCACGATGAACTGGATAATTATAGGTCCGGCAGTCTGATATCAATCCCATGAAAATAATGGAGCAGCTGATATGGGACTTAATGGAGGGTAATGTAATTAATGCAAATCAGCATGAGTTTATGGAAGATATCAAGTTAGTTTGACAGGATATATCTTTTTAATGAGATTACAAGTTTGGTTAATAAAAGTAACAGTATTGATGCATGGTACTTAGACTTCCGTAAAGCATTTGACTTGGTACCACAAAACATTTTGATTAGTGCTAGTATCCACAAGTCAAGAAAGAGATTGAGAAATTGGAGAAGATTCAGAGAAGAGCCAAAAGAATGATTCAAGGATTTGAAAACATGCCTTATAGTGATTGAGCTCCTTGAGTCTATCTATTTAGCTTGACAAAGAGAAGGTTAAGGGATGACTTGTGGTTTGAGCATTGGCCTGCTTAAACCCAGGGTTGTGAGTTCAATCTTTGAGGGGGCCATTTAGGGATCTGGGGCAAAAATCTGTCTGGGGATTGGTCCTGCTTTGAGCAGAGGGTTGGACTAGATGACTTCCTGAGGTCCCTTTCAACCCTGATAGTCTATGACAGTGGTTCTAAGAACAAATATTTAATAATGAAAAATAGAGCTGGAAGTTGAAGCTAGACAAATTCAGACTGGAAATAAGGTGTAGTATTTTAAAGAGTGAGAGTAATTAGCCATTAGAACAGGTTACCAAGGATTGTGGTGGATTCTCCATCACTGACAAGTTTTAAATCAAGACAATGTTCTTCTACAAGATCTGCTCTAGGAATTATGTTGGGGTAGTTCTCTGGCCTGTGTTATACAGGTGGTCAGACAAGATGATCTCAATGGCCCCTTCCCACCCTGGGAAACTATGAAAAAAATGAGGCTACCCTGATTCCCAACCCCATGCTCATTCCTCCAGCCTTCATTAAGTGTATAGGGCAGAGTAAATCTGTGCTAGCTGAGGCCTCAGATTTTCAGGCACTGTCATCTTTAGCCACAGGCAAATCCATTTAAAGTAGACAAACAGTTTTCTTTTCAACACTTAGTCTATTGAACTTTGTGGTTCAATGAATGTTTAATGTCTATGCATCAGTGAAACTTCCTCTTTTAAACTGAAAATTCAAGACTGCCTGAATGCTGAAACTTTTTGTAGTGCACTTCAAAGTGTTGAGACAACTCATCAGGTTTGTCACTGGAAGTGAATAATCACAGTTGTGAGTCTATACCGAGAGATTCCCTCTAAACCTCTATGGTGAAATAAAGAAATAATCAATCAGACAACTTTGAAATCATTTTTGATTTTATCACTCAGAGCATCAGCTATGACTCTGAGATGCTTCAAACATTAAATATACTTTACACAGTTTTAGGAAAATCATGAAACATTCTGAGAAATTATCTGGGAACGTAATGCTGCTGAACAGTTTCTTTCATTTTCTGCCCAAAGAGCAGTTATCAGATTCGTACCTTAGCAGGACAGGACATAACAACAATAAAATCGACTCCATTTCTAGATAAAGTAGTGGGCACTGGGCTGGAGGTTAGAAGGCCTCTCCAAATCTCACAAGCCTGGGCACCGACTTTCCCCCAGCTCAGTGTGTGCTCAACCCCCCATCACACAAATCCCTGGCCCCACCCCTGCCCCGCCTCTTCCCGCCCCTGAATCACCCTCGCCCCACCCCCATTCCACCCCTTCCCTAAAGTCCCCGCCCCACCCCGCCTTTTCCCACCTTAGCCCTGCCCCCATTCCACTCCCTTCCCCCAAGTCCCCACCTTTTCTCCGCCTCCTCCCCTGAGTGTGCCGCGTCCCCGCTCCTCCCCCTCCCTCGCAGAAACTCCTAAGTGCCGCCAAACAGCTGTTAGGCATCAGGGGGGCAGGAAGCACTGGGAGGGAGGGAGAGAGTGGGGACGCGACACGCTGCGGGCGAGAGACAGAGGCAAGGAGGGGTTGGGGGCAGGGAGAGCTTGGTTGCCAGTGGGTGTGGAGCACCCGCTAATTTTTCCCCGTGGGTGCTCCAACTCCGGAGCACCCACGGAGTTGGCGCCTATGCTCACAAGAGCAGTCCAGCCAATCAGTGACTGGATTTGTACTCCTGGTCTTGTGACCTGTGTGATCAGCCGTTTGGAGTCACTCCTCACTCCTACTAGTGACACTGCTGGGCTGGCTTATTTATAAACTCTCTGGGCCTGACTTAAATCTCACTTACATCAGCATAAATCAGGAGTTACTCCACTGAATTCAATGGAGCATAGAATCAAAGAAGTTTAGGGTTGGAAGAGACCTCGGAGATCATCTAGTCCAACCTCCTGCTCAAGGCAGGACCAAACCCAACCTAAATCATTCCAGCCGGGGCTTTGACAAACTGGGCCTTAAAAACCTCTAAGGATGGAGATTCCATCACCTCCCTAGGTAGCCCATTCCAGTGCTTCACCACCCTCCTAATGAAGTAGATTTTCCTAATATCCAACCTAGACCTCCCTCACTGCAACTTGAGACCATTGCTTCTTGTTCTGTCAATGCTGGATGAGTTTGCCCAGCGTAAAACCAGTTGGGTGGCAGTGTTTCCCTAAACCCACCACCACCACCCTACTAGGAGATGCTGTTCTTGTTCCAAAACCAGCCAGACAAAGAGGACTTTGGTCTCACCCCACTGGCTAACCACAAGTCACACAAGCAATTCCCTTAGACATTCCAGTTTCCCAGTATCATCACCAGTGCCACTCATTATGGGGACAAATGGTTATGAAAACCAATACCCCAGTAAAGGAAAAAAAAGGTTCTCTCAATCCCAAAGGACCAAGCCCCAGACCCAGGTCAATATACAACTCAGATTTTACCCACAATTCACGATACTGCCAATTCTTTAGAATCTAAAATCTAAAGGTTTATTCACAAAAGGAAAAAGATATAGATGAGAGATAGAATTGGTTAAATGGAATCAATTCCATACAGAAATGGCAAAGTTCTTGGTTCAGACTTGTAACAGCGATAGAATAAACTGCAGGTTCAAATTTGCCCCCTTTGCCCTTCATATTATTCTCCCAGGGGATCCTGCCCATCTGTTCCCTGAGGGAGTCAAAGTCTGCTTTTCTGAAGTCCAGGGTCTGTATTCTGCTACTCTCCTTTCTTCCTTGTGTCAGGATCCTGAACTCGACCATCTCATGGTCACTGCCTCCCAGGTTCCCATGCACAGGAAGTTGGTCAATACGGCTGCATGGCGTGCCTGGACAAGACAAAAGGTGGAACATGCCATTGGTGGCTCTTGTGTTCACACATCATGATAAAGAGAGCTAGGCACAACTCAGAATTTCTGTCCCACTAGAGAGTCTCACATTTAAAAAAAGAAAAAAAAGATTCTTCTTGGAACAAATTGGAAATTTTGAAATTTCCAGAAGAAGGGAAATCCTTTAAATATCAGTTAAGAGAAATATTTTTATTTCCAGTCAGTTTTTTCAAAACTAAACAGAGCATCCATCTGCCTTGACTCCATGGGTGTCACCCAGAGCTGTGGGAGTCCCCCTACGTGGTGCAGGGAGCCTGGAAGTTCTGAGTGCCCCATCTTGAGCTGAGACTCTCCAGATCACTGCCACAAATCTGGGAGCTGGAGGCCCTGGGTCCCCAGCCTTGGGGCAGTCCACATGGTGGAGGTTTCCTGGAACCACAGATCCTGGAAGCCTGTGATCCCCAGAAGCCCACCAGGCGAGCTGAGGGGTTTCTGGTGGAACCTGCCCAGTTTCAGCAGAAGTTTGTTGCAATTGTAATGTTTCTGCAAAAGCATTTTGGTTTAGACAAATCCTCATTTTCCATCAAAAAATGTTTAGGCAGAAGATTCCCAAATAGCTCTAGTAATGCAGTACTTTCATTTTAACCTGCAGCAGTGTCAGTCTGTTCAAATTTCAAGCTAACACAAATTATTTGAATGGGTGACTGCTTCATGGATTTCTTGAGCAAGCAGAAATTTCCATTTTTGCTGTAAAATATCCTTCACCAGAAGCCAGAGTGCAAACGTTATGAGAACAGGAGAGAGATGAAAATGGAGAAGACAGGAGCCCCCCCAAAATAAAGGCATGTGGGGGAAATGCTGCAGAGGCACCATCTCCACATCCATGTTCTGTAGCACAGAGTCACTGGGGTTTCACCCACTCTTGCTGAAAGAGGTAAAGGGGCTAGGCTGGCCAAGTTTGTCTCCGGAGGGGTCCAAATGAGAAAAATCACACTGGTTTAACTAAATGTTGGATAGTAAATGGAGTTAGGCAAACCAGTATTAATCCCAGTTGAGACACTTTTAATCCATTTTAAACCAGATTTACTGAAGTTAAGTTTAAGTCAAGTAGGAAACAGTTTGGACTAACCTGAAAAGTCAAACTAAAATAAAACCACACCCAAACAGTGGTTTGCACTGATTTGATAACTTATTTATGTTCAATTGTTGCGATTTTGTGGAGATGACAAGGTCTTAGAGTCCTCGACTCCTTCAATAGCCAGAACTGCCCAATACTGAAAAACGAGCTGTTTGCGCTGACAAGATTAGCCTTTTTCTCGATCTCACGGCTATTTCTCAGATCATGTCACTGGAGTTCATCAGAAAGATATGGAAATCAGACTCCTAAAGGGAAGTAAAATGTTCCTGTCCCAATAAACATGGAGCTGGTACAGGCTAAAAATCTGCATATCTTCAAAATGGCATAGTTCAACCAGCCCTTGCAGCAAAGCTTTTTCCCCTTGCCAGTTAATTTGAATACTTCCTGCACTGGTAAATCACGGTGGCTCATGCACAAATGCATGATTAATTAATTAGGTGGCAGAGACATAGTGAAGCCTGAAACCTATGCAATCATTACAACGGATTTATTTAAGAGAAGCTTAAGCACCATATGCTGGTGAGTGGAACAAACAAACTTTTCAATTACATTGTAGATGGTTAACAGACTAATTTAACTAACTCCACCTACACTGTAGTTTGAACTTATATAAGATGACAGTCCCTCACTGTTACACACACAAAACAACACTAGCCAATGACTAGAATATGGATAGTAGGAGAAATAGGAGGAATTGGCAATAATGCTGAGAGAGTAGTTGGTGTTGTGGAGCAGTCTCCTGAGCCCCTCATGCACAGTGACCATTGCATCTGACCTGTCCTTTTTAAACCCCCCAAATCAAAACACAAGACCCCTGCAGGAAGACGAGCTTCACACCACCCATAGAGTTATTTTGGAGGGCCCCCTGAGCACTGATTTTGATGAACAATGGTTTGTTGTGGGCCCTCCCCCCAAATCTAAGATGACAGCACCTGCAGAGACAAGCTGAGATCAGGATCAGTTGTGGCATACATTAAAACAACATAGCCACTTTGCAAACTTCTGTATGCACATGCACAACATGTTAACTGGATTTACTATGCAAATTACTGAGTCCTGGAGGATTAGGCTGGTGAAACAGAGCGGTCAGTGGGAAAATTCAGACCCTATGGGACCTTGAAAGCAGGTCAAGCAGAAATAACATTAGAGTTGTGGGTATTCTCAAGAATGTAGGAAAGCTTTGATCCATGGAGTTTATTCAATCCTTCTTGAAGGAGGCCCTGAAATTCCTTCTTACGCTGACCTGGAGGTAGAGAAAGCACACAAGACTCTGGCCCCTAAACCTGCACAGGGGAATGGACCCCGAACATTTATTGGTTAAGGAGAAGCTACTCAGGCAGGCTGGAGAGCCTAGTAAGTGAGAATGGAGCACCCGCCTGCCTGAATAATGTTATTCCAGGACCAAGCCAGGGAGATCATTGAAAGAAGAGCATGTTTTACTCAATCCAGACACTGGCCAGGCAAAAAACATCATTCAATACTGTGACACTCTGTACCTCAGAGTAACACCTTGGAACCCTCATATTCACCACTATCATATAATTATGTGTTTTGTACATAGGATGCCTTGTAAGGTTTCATTTTAAAAGTTTTGATCTGTTGAACATTAATATCCTGTTGGATTGTATGTACTATCATTGTATATGAATTATTGCTATATATGTTACTGAAATACCTTTTGAGGTTGGGAACACTCACAACTGGCCCTTTCAGGGACAATAATGGAGTAACCAAACAGCATTGATGGCTCATCAACACGGATCAAGGAAAGAATCCACCATTCCAGAGACTTTTCAGAGGCAGCACATATACAATGGAGACTGCTTGACTAGTGGGGACTGCCTGATCCCCATGTAGCAGCAAAAGATCTTTCAAGCAAACTGGAAGAACACATAAAAGTAACCAACTTTGATCTCTATGTTTGCTACTTATAATTACTTAAAATCTATTTTTCTGTAGTTAATAAACCTGTTTTATATTTTACCTAAAACAGTGTGTTTTGGTTGAAGTGCTTGTGAAATCTCAGCTCAGTTTACAAAGCCTGGTGTGTGTCCTCTCCACATCGAGGGAGGGGTGAACTCAATAACGAACTTACACTGGCCAGGGTTCTGACCAGCACATGGTGGTATAGCCCTGCGGTGCAAGTCTGGGGAGCTGGGGGGAACAGGCTGAAGCCTCTAGTTGGTTCATGAGTGGCTGGGAGATCATTCATGTTACGCTGTTGGGTGTGTCCCTGCCTGTGGATAGCCGTAAAAGGGCAGCACCTGTCAGAGGTTTGTAGCTTGCCAATAGCATCACAGAGCACGATAGATACCCCAGGTGGTGGGACAGAAGGCTCAGTGGTCCCACAGTCCAGGTTGCACCCCGGGGACCCTGTCACAAATACTTTATGCAGTACCCTGCATGTGGGGCATTATGGGCATCATTCACACCTTCCAGGATCCATGCCTTGCAGAAGCCTTTATTAACCACATTCATCAAACCCCATTTAAGTGACTCTTCTTGCAATATTACAGAATGCATGTGTGAACTCCAGCTGCACTGTCATGTTAGTTTTCCTCTTAGCAGCCTTCTATACATTGCCGGTGACTAGCTTTACTGACCACAGCCTCCCCGTCCTACCACCAGTAGCTAATTGGCATACATATTGAATGTGGAATAGATCCCTCCTACAGACACTCTTCACTCAATTTACCCCCAACTGCTTGCCAGAGTTATTTAAGCCCCTTCCCTGGATTTAAGAGAAGGAGTAATTGCAAATGAGGGTTGCACTTGTACCACAGGAACTACAGTGCAGGCAGATATCTGCAAAGTGGTGTTGCACTTGTATCACGGGAATCAAGGTCACAAACATTCTCTTATCCATGAGAGGCAATGGTCTCATGAATGCATTGGACTGGAATGAATTGAAGAAATCAATAGCTACTGGGGATGAGCTACTAGAGGTCTCCTGAATTTTTAAAACCACAAGCTCAAGGATTAAGCACACCAGCAGAGGACATCAGCTTCTTTCCTGGACATAACCTACAAAATGCAGGGATTGCGTGGACACCCCCACCCGCCACACACTCCTTTCTTCCTGACCTGCCTTTACCCTGTTTTGCCCCTCCCTCTCTCCTTTACTTTCCCCCTTCTTCCCCCTCCAATTATCCCATTTCCCCCTATACATGTTCCGCCACCCATCCTCCCGCACCTTACATCTCAGGATCCATAGGAATGGGGTAACATAATGCCTTCTTTTACAGCCAGCTGGAACCTTCGGAGCACAGCTGCACAAGAGCAGAGGGCAAGCCTCCTAAGGATCACACAACACCCAAGCATAGCACAATCCTTCTGTACAAGCTACATACATGACAACACATGGCAAGGGCTCACATCCCCACACAATATCAGTTATCAATTACAGTCAATGTGTCCAATAATATTAATTGTGTCTCCTGAAACATTAATGTGCTAAACCCATTAAAAGGAAAAAATATATTCATCACTTTTAAAACAAAGAGCTGGCATACCAATGCTACAGGAGACCCATTTAACTGACCAAGAGGTGCAAACCCTAGAGCAGGACTGGGTGGGAGCAGATATTTTTAGTTCTTACAACTCTAGAGTTAGGGGAGTTACGAAACTGATTCACAAAATATTAACTCTCACGGTCACTGAGCATGAAACAGACCCCCTCCCACACACACAAGGTAGATTTGTAATGGCAAATGGCAATCTAAATGTCTGCATGTTAACCATTATAGCGAGTAAAGAGGTGGGCCTGCCCACTGTCCCCACTAATCTTCAACATAGTGCTGAACCCTCTGGCACATGTAATCTGGGGCTGTGCGGAGAGACAGGTATTAAGATTGGTCATACA